TTTTTTCAATGACATGCATTAAAAAAAAAGATTGCTTATGTAATCAAGGAAGCTAAGAAATAGCTAAGATTTTTTGATGATGGAATGAGGATTCAAAAATATCTCAATAGGCTGAAATGGTGAGTTGAAAATAACATTAAATTTTCCCAGGCATGGTGGCTCACACCTGTAATACCATCACTTTGGAAGGCCGAGGCAGGTGGATCACCTGAGATCAGGAGTTCAAGACCAGCCTGGCCAACATGGTGAAACCCCGTCTCTATTAAAACTACAAAAATTAGCTGGACATGGTGGCAGGCACCTGTAATCCCAGCTACTCGGGAGCTGAGGCAGGAGAACTGCCTAAACCTGGGAGGCAGAGGCTGTAGTGAGCTGCGATTGTGCTACTGCACTTCAGCCTGGGCAACAGAGCAAGACTATCTCAGAAACAAATAAACATACAATCATTAAATTTAATGGGTAAATGTGAGAGCCTGAATTTATGTTTTACAAAAATCATCACAAATACAGCATAGAAAAGATAATACTAATTTCAATCAGTTTTTCTTCTTCTATAGCCAATCAGTTGCTAAGTCGTATCAAGTTTGCCTCTTTAGTATCTCTTAATCTGTCCTCTCCATTTTCCTTGCCTGTCCTCTAATTCAAGCGCTTAATGTCTCTCTCCCTTCTATCTCTATACTCTTGCTTTTCAAATCCATCTTATGCAAAACTCGGAAAACTTTCCCTACAGCACGGGTCTCCATGTGGCACTCCATGCTTACATACCCTCAGTGGCTCCTCGCTACCTAATTGAAAAAGGGAAAGTTCCTTGAGTCTGACAGTCGTGATCCTCCAGTCTGACCCAGGCCTTCCTTTCCACCTCCCAGACACTTATCACGTGTTCTTGCTCTGGCTTCCTCCTTCCCCTCCACAAGCCTCTGTCTAAATCCTCCTCATTCTTCACCAAGCCTAGTTCATATCCTTCACCAAGCCTTCCCTGTCCTCCTTTGTAATTTCTTCCTCCTGCAACAAGGCATTTTTACGGGATATTTTCTGCCATGAGTTATCTTGCCATATTTTCTGTCATGAGTTAATGCTGCGGATATACACTTTCTATTTCTTTGTCCCATATTTCCCTTTCTATCCTTCACCAAGAATATGAGCACATGAAAGGTAGAATTTTGACCGATTAATTTCTTTATCCCCACATACCCACACAGCATCTTGGTAAATGCCCAGTAAATATCTGACAAACACAATGACAGTACACACTAAGAAGCACTGTGTCCAGCACTGGGTCCTGAACAAGGAAAGCGATGGTGCTGTTCAACACCCAGAGTGCATCTGGGCACTTGGGGAGGCCAAAGTGGGAGGATCACTTGAGGCCAGGAATTTGAATTCGAGACCAGCTTAGCCAACATGGCAAAACTTTGTCTCTACTGAAAAAAAAAAAAAGAATAATAGTTGGGCATAGTGGCTTGTACTTGTAGTCCCAGCTACTCAGGTGGCCGAGGCAGGAGAACTGCTTGAACCTGGAGGCAAAGGCTGCAGTGAGTCAAGATTGCACCACTGTACTCCAGCTGTGGCAACAGACTCTGTTTCCAAAAAAAAGAAAAAATAAAAAAAAAAGAGTGCATCTGGAACACTGGGCATAGGCTGCGGCACTTCTTTTTAAGATGGACACTGCCAAGCTAATGGGTAATGGAGAAAGATGACTGGGATGGTTTGTAGACCAGGGCATCCCAGAAACTGGGAATCTTCAGTTTAAGGAGGAAAAACAAGACTAAATTGACCATGGTAACTATCTTCATATTTTGGAAGGGCTTTCATAAAATGATTAAACTGATTTATTATCACTAAGAAAAAAGAACTATGTCCAGCGGATAGGAGAGTATCACTCCAAACTAAGAGAAAACTTCCAGATGAAAACTATTCAACAATGACCAGTCTGCTATGTAGATGCGGTGGCCTCCAGCCACTTGACATATTGAGAGGCAGGAATATAAATGATTGGAAAAAAGATCACCCATGATGAATATGGTGCTGAGCTACAAGAACTTAAAACATGTCTTTTAAGACAACAACATCAACAATACTATATAAATGGCCATCAGGGGGATTTACATTCTAGAGACAACTTGACCTTATTGTGGTCAGGTTACGCAACATCTCCACTACAATTACTATTTATCAACATTATTATTTGTGAGAAGTTATTGGGTGTCCATAATCAGATAATTTATTAGAAAAAGAGGGCATGCCCTACTTAAAAAAAAGCTTTACATTGAATGGAGGTTAAGTATAAATTTATAATGTAATATTATTAAAATGAAATTATTTAAAAAATTTTAAACTTTTTCATATTTAAGTTTTATTTTTATTTTTTGAGACAGTGTCTCACTCTGTCACACAGGCTGGAGTGCAATGGCACGATCTCAGCCCACAGCAACCTCCGCCTCCCAGGTTCAAGTGATTCTCCTGACTCAGCCTCCTGAATAGCTGGGATTATAGGTGTGCACCACCACACCCAGCTAATTTTTGGTAGAGGCAGGGTTTCACCATGTTGGTCAGGCTGGTCTCAAACTCCTGACCTCAGGTGATCCACCTGCCTTGGCTTCCCAAAGTGCTGGGATTACAGGTGTGAGCCACCATACCTGGCCTAAGTTTTAATAGTTAAACCATTTTATTAAATTCTCTTTTGGTAGATGAGACGGTGGTACTACCATTTTGGGGTTTGGTTTTGTAAAATTGAAAATGCAACACTCTATGGCCCAAAAATTCTAATCTCAGGCAATTAACCTAGAATAGTGGCTTTTACAACTGTTATTGGTGTATCCCTTAAAATAATTGTGAAAAACTATATTCTCCTTCCCTTTTTGATATTTAACATTTTTAAGCATGTGTTTAAACAGATGCAGAAAATATAAATTTTGGCATATGCTCAAGGTTGACACTGTTAAAAAAAAATCACGATTTTAAATGTATCCAACGGCCAGGCACAGAAAGACAAATATTGCATGATTTCACTTATATGAGGAATCTAAAGAAGTCGAACTCATAGAAGTAGAGGACAGAACACTGGTTGCCGGAGGTTGGGGGTGGGTGAGGTGGGGAGATGTTGCTGAAGCCACATAGTTTCAGTTAGGAGGAATGCCATTTTGAGATTGAATGAACATCATGGTGACTCTAATCAATAATCATGTAATACATATTTCGAAATGCTGAGTAGATTTTAAACGTTTGCAGCACACACAGAGACAGGTATGAGGAGTAATGGATATGGGAATCAGATTGATGTAATCATTTCATAAATGTATTCATATATCAGAACATCACATTGTACTCATAATTCATAATGCATATAATTATTATTTGTCAGTTAAAAATGTTAAAAAGGATCCAATGGCATCCTGATGCCACAGGGATTTGATACTCTCCATTATACATTCAAAATACATAGAAATGAGCTCTTCTTTAATAGCTGGGTATTTTTCATTTTTCCTTTTTCTCTTTGAATTATCATTTCTATTTCATTTCCTCACTGAAATTGATCCTAATGAAATATATTTTTATGCTTAAAATTATTTTATTATTCCATAGTAGCTTCCTACAAAAGACTATCTGTATAAATTAAAATCCAAAAACTTTAAATTTTCTGTTACCACAACACTACAGTTTAACTTTCTTTTGTTTGAATTACTATCACAATTATTATGTAGTTCACAACCAATTGACATAATTGGTAACTATATGTATGATTTTAACCTAAATGTAGTTTTTGATAAATAATTATGGAACACAAAAGGTTACTGGGACTGCACCTCGGTGAGATGGTTGTTCTTTCATTTGTCCACGAAACTGTAGATAATTCTTGTTGCAGGAATGAGGAAGTTTAAACTTTAACCTAGGTTGTATTCCTCTGCCAAATTAATCTTCCCTAAACATGGCTTCCTTGCTCACTTATAATGATTCCCTATCTGCTATCCAACATGTATATTTTCAGATCTTCTTTTTTTTATGATCCCTTGTTAGTTGATCTTAATCTTCCTATTCAACATTATCTCCCACTATATTCTCCTGGGAACTCAGTTCCAGTCAAACTTCCTCCTAACTGTCCCCTTTAAATAGCGGGCAGCTGTCTTATTGCTCCCTGCATCTCTCCACCTCCATAAATTTCATCAGTCCAGCACATATCTCACTGTAAAATAATTCCTGACTACAACCTTTTCTCTTTCTTGTGTTTTGTTCCTTCTGCCTTCACAGTCTATATTGTACAAGTAGCACCTGATTATGTAGTACACTTCACCTATCTATTCTTAATTATATATCACATATAATTTAGTATTTTATTATACATTCTTCCTTTCCCTAACTGTTTCATGTCTTACCAACCAGACCATAATTTGTTCCTATTATTAGCTTTCTGAGAGGTGCTATGATCTTTTCCACAAGCCCAGAGAGATTTTTTTGAACCTAGGGAAAGAAATCAGAGGTATAACTAATGGTTTTCAAATTCATAGCAATGGTTTTTCATTGCTACTGATGCTAAAAACGGGGTAACTGTCCTTTTGTGACAATAGGAATGCTACAGATCAAACATCAGGAAGAATATATTTTTAAGAATTAAAAAGAAATACTATTAAAGATTATTAAGAGTTTCAAATTGCTCTACTTTAAGGATCTTTTTAATCACAAGACAGGCTAACCAAGATCTGGAATATCCTTGAGGAACATGATCTTACCATTCTAGGTTTTCATGAACATCAAGGCTGACACATAATCTGAGCCACTCAACGGCAGTCCTAGCGGCCCTGTCCCTTCATCACTTTCATTTGCTCTGTTGGTCTGACTCTACAAAGGTCTAGGAGACTATTTCTGCCATGCATATTCTCATCTCCTGACAAACTCAGAGATGATCCTTTTCTATAATGTTGGAAGTTAGGCTATTGAGGCAATTTCACCAATCAGAACCACCCTCAGGCTCAAACATTACTTTGCCTAGCTCCTAACAGAAGTTCTACCTGTAAGCTGCAGTGCAGGTGTCTTTGTACTCCTGGAGCTTCACGCACACCATGTTGAGGAACTGATCTGAATATGCACTCAAATCATGCATCAGGTTCATGAGGTCTTGCACTGTCTTCTCCACAATGATTGTGCTCTGGAAATGAACAATAAAGAGAAGACACAGAGGAGATTTCTGTAGTCAAGTAATGTATAGGACAAGGAAGGACAACTCCAAGTATGTCATAATTTAAGGTACCTGAGCTTTGCTGCAAGAACGTGACATTTTGAAATATGAACTCAAAACAACAACCAAGTAAGTATCTTACACAGTGCTGGTCTTCCCAAGACCTGAGCAAGTGTTTTCTCTGGAAGGACACAGAATAGGGATTTTCAAGTTGATATCATGGATTTCTTAACATTCACAAGATAACTTTGTGGCTTTTAAGACAGAAAATACATATTCAGTTGGAGCCTGATTTATCACTCCAAGGCTTTTTGAGATTAGGGACCTACGACAGGCAGCACAAAGAAAAAACCTTTCACGATTTATTTTAAAAGTTTCAAAACCATCAATCTATTCAGAATAACAACAAACATTTGTATTGTGTTTTACAGCTTGTAGAATGTTTTCACATACACAGCATATGTTATTGCACTTAAGACTCACATAATAATTGTGATAATCATGAACCTTTATAGGGTTCTTACAAGTGCAAAGTACAATGCTAAGCACTTGTATATTTTATTTCATTTAACTCTCTCAACACTCCTATCCATCAGGTGGCTCCTATAATCATCTCCAGTTTAAAGATGAGGAAACAAGCTTAGAAAGACGAAGTAAACGAAGAAGGAGCACTAGGCTTCGGTTTTCTAACTATGCCATTCTGCCTCAGAGCCAGACCGGAGTTCTGTTGCCCACAGTGCATTTTCCCATGAGATTACAGTGTTTCATATTGCTGTCACCACTATAGATGCAGGGTCCAAACACACTCAGACATATTTTAAAACTGAATTAAAAAACTATCCGAAGGGGAAAAGAGCCCATCTTAAAGCTAGATGCTGACAGCACTATGCAGCAAATCAGTGTTATATCTGAAAAGAGGCATATTCAACAAATTCTAAATCTTTGATTAAGAAAAGATTGAGTTGTTTAAACCATTAGTTTATGCCTCTTTCAAAAGAAGCAGAATTACATTGGGGTAAATATTAATCACATGCTTAGCAGCGTGGAATCCTTTGGTCAATAACTGGTTTGTTGATTTTGTATTTATATTAAATTACATAGGCTATGGTAAGCTTAGCCATAAGAGTAAGCTTAAAAAAATACTTTTCCAGTCTGACAGTGAACTTTGAAGGAATCAAAGGCATTTTTATTATGCTTAAATACAGATTATGGGGTACAGGGTTTTGGCTAATTATTTTTCTAAAAATCAAAAGAATAAACAAAGGTATATAGCTCTTCTCAACACAATGGGGGATTCGCTTGAATTATGAGTTGCATTTGCATGCTTATTCAAGAAGATTTGGTGGTAGACATTTCTTGTCATCTTTCGCCTTCCCCTCATTTTTCCCACCCCCAATACAATCATCAGAAGGTGAAAAGGAAGGAGCAGTTTTATTCTGTAAGGCAACCCTCATAGGAAGCCAAATTACAGTCTCTATAGAATCCCCACAAGTTCAACTTCCTTTTCTGTATTGATTTTAAGATTAAAGCACTGCAGCTTCACCCTGATCCATAATCCCATTCCTCTGTATTTGTGTGTGAGTGACAGGAATTGATTCTGCCTGGCTACACGTCCCTACACTAAGAAGAATTTAAAATCCTCATCCTGATTCAGAACACAAGATATTCTACAACATGTGGACAGCAATTAATAAAGGAGAGTAGAGTTCAGTTATCCTAACAAAGCCTGTTTAAAATCTAAAACATTGCAGGGAAGACGAGCATGAGGAGATTCCTCTGATTATGGGGAGAAAGGGCCTGGTTCTCTTCCCAATTATGCTGTTGATAACCATCTCTGGGGTAGGTTTGGGTGCCCCTTCCTTTCTTATGACTCAATTTAGTTCTCTAATAACCAAGGATAATTGGAACGCTCCTTTACTTTGTTGGCCCCAATGACTCATGTATTCAATTTGTGTACTGGTACTCTCACACTGGGCGAATACGGTGTAACCGCCTTCAAGTCACCTCAGGTGTATTTCGTCTTCCTGAATAGATTATCAGCCTCTCCAGAGGAATCAGCATTCCTCTTTTCGTCCATCTTCCATCCTTCCCTTCCCCCAGTTGTTTATAATCTCTCAGCATTTTCAAGACAATACTACTAATAAAAGAAACCATATTAGTAATGAGAATAGACAGAATAAATCTCTGAATGTCTTATGTGTGAGGGATGTTAGACACAGACACCTTTGCATTTTGAAATCTCCTTGGGTGGTTTGGGTTTGGCTTGTATTTACTGCAGTGCTTTCAGCTGACTAGAATTGTGCTGATAGCATCTGGAGGGGAAGGGATGACTGCAAACACCTCTGCATATCCACTGGAGGTCAAGCTTTTGGGGATGAACAGGAAGTACTGGCAGGGAATGATTAGAATGCCATTGTTTAATTCTAATGGTTGTGCACAACACAGAGCCTCTGTGATGCTATATGATTACATACAATTTTCCAGCTATTTGGTTGGTTTACCTTGTCATGGTAGCACTCTGGATAATCAATCACTACATTCTCTTCAAGAAAAATGACATTGTATTTGGCCAAATGATGGATATTTTTACAGGGAAAAAAGTTTCCATTTTTTCAAGAATTTATAACAATTTCCAAATCAGTGGCTCTGACAGATAAATGTTGAAAACATCAAAATTTTAACAAGGTCAACCCTGTTTTTATTTATTTGAGCTCTTTAGCAATGCAAATGATTTACTGACACATTATTAATTTTGGGGGTTGCTAATGTTGACTATAATGACTTCATAATAAGCAAAACCCTGATTTTCTTCATTATAATTTCTATTAAACAAATCATAAATGATTGATATTTGCTTAGAAACAACTCAATTCACATTTCTTCCAATGTATTACCAGGTAATAGAGTCTGTGCATGACATGAAAAATGAAAAAAGAAAAAAAAAATCCCAGGACAGTTGATGTAATAATACTAATAAAAAACATTGCTGTGGAATATAAACACCTAAAGTCTCTTACAGGGACACAATGGTAATTTGAAGTATAAAGTGGGTGTATATGAGCCAGGTGTTTGGTTCTGTATTTAAAAGAATTAATCAGTGAATAAATAAAGATGATTGTACCTTTGAGAACTAGTCTACTGCTTGCCAGAATGGGGCTCTGCCTCATGATACTAATAATTCTGTTACAGAAAATCAGTTTTCACTCCACATAATTTGGAAAATACTGAGTTAAAGAAAACTGAAGTAGTGTTTTTACTGGAGGACTTCAGAAACCTTTAATATGCTAGAGTCATCATTAGTCTTAAAGAGGCCAATGAGGTATTCAGTCTTCCCCTAACTATGAAAGTAATGAAACCATTTTTCACAGCCCATCTTTTCACATCTACTGGAAAGATGTTCCATGGTTTGGGAACAACTCTCCCCAGTTCTCTGGTTATACTGATGAGGACCCTAAGGCCCAATGACATGCTTGAGGACACATGAGGCATACCGCTGTGAACAGTGTGAGCTTGATCAGACCTCTTACTTCTGGATCCTTCCATCTGGGCCCTTTCCTATACACACCAACCATCCTCAGTTCTGCCTCCTGCCTACCCCTCTAGGCTTCTCTCTTTTTTGTTTTTCGAGATGGTGTTTCACTCTTGTTACCCCGGCTGGAGTGCAATGGCACGATCTCGGCTCACAGCAACCTCCACCTCCTGGGTTCAGGCAATTCTCCTGCCTCAGCCTCCTGAGTAGCTGGCTTCTCTCTTTTTAAAAGCTTTTTCTCTATTAAAATTAAAAATTTTTTTCCTCTATGCTTCTCTCCAGTTCCTCTGAACACGCCTAAATCTTGCTCCAACCACACTAAATGACTAGTGACTCCTTGCTTGCACCAGGCTAATTCCTGCCTCTGTGCCTTTCTGTCTCCTGATCTTAGTGTCTGGAATACTCTTCCTAGCTCATGACTCTCATGCTTGAAGAATCAGCTCAAGGGTTACCTGCTCTAATTTAAATACCCATTCTGTGCCAGCAGAGGACTCTGGCTTTTTGGCTCATGCTCTAAATGGAGTGTGGCAATCACTAGTCTAACTGGTTATCTCTTCCGCTAGGCTGCTAATTCCTGTTGGTTAGTGACTGTGCCTTCCTATCTCTAACACCTAGCAAGGTATCCAGCATACTGCAGGTGTTCAATAAATATTTATTAATTTAATGCACATGCACAGCACATTCAAAGCCGGGTCAAAAGACAGAGTTAGAGTAAGACTGTAGTAACAGCTAAGAGCCTGATTCGGTAAGGTGAAATCAGACCACTTACTCCTTATTACTACACTGTATCTTAATTCCCACGGTTCTGAGGACTGAACATTTGTTGTGGCTGAAAGTCTTGGGTATTTCCACAACAGTACTCTTAACTTCACCTGATTGTATTATTTTCTATAATGGCAATTCATTACATATGTATATATAACTAAATGTGCTCATTTTAAAGTTTTAAGAAATAAATTCCCAATTCACAAATGTGCTGATTTTAAAGTTTTAGGACAGAAATAAATACACAATTCAGAAAAAAAGCCAAAACCAAAACAGCTTCAGTTTGGAGAATGGAATCTCTGTATTTGGACTGTTTTAGCTCCTGAGAAGATGGTTCAGAGATGCTGCTAGGAACCTAAAGTTCTAAATGGTGCAGAGAAATACCTCTATCACTTCAGACACATGTCTCCAGCACCATGACAGACAGACACACACACACACACACACACACACACACACACACACACACACACACGGTAGGGCAAGCACACCTGACAGCAATTATTTAAGCATCCCCTTAGAATGATCCTGTGTGGCAGATGCACCTGAATGTATGTTTTGAGCTAGGTAATTTGGGAGTGGCTAACCTGGAGATTCCTTCCTTATCTATGGTAAACATCTGAGGCCCCTGGCCCATTTCGTGGGACACCAGCCATATGGGGGACTGAGGTCCCGT